CCAGTCAGTCTTTGCAGGGATAATTGATCCACTGTTGAGATTTGACGGGAATGTAGGACTGAAGGGTTGGGAAAAAAGATAATTTCCAAGGTGATGTAATTATTAGAGTTGGTAAATTTGGAACATGGTTGATAATGGCCGTCAAAATATACAATGGCTATTAGCTATTAGGTCTTCCTCCCCCTATCTAGCAGTTTTTAGTATTCTGACCAACAACACTGTGCCATTTCAATTGTGATCATGAGAATACGCTGACAGGCAACGTATCCATTCTGATCGCATAGGGACAGTTGCAAACTTAATATCTCAGTGTACGGAATAAGCCCGTTTATTATTTCTTACCCGAGTCCGCATTCTTCTGGAATACTTTGAAAAATCCATTCTCACGTGAGAGTCGGAATCAGGGATGCATGCGGGGTCGGAATTTAATGCAGACCAATCAGATATCCAGCCAGGTTGTCCACGCATGCAGATCGCGATAAACTCTGGGCGCAGAGCATACTATGAAGTGATATTGTGGCTGATACAGATGATGCTGATGAGGATATAAGTCCTATTCCATAGCCCATGTAGTATCCACAGTCAAGCTGTCAACTTTTCTAAGCTCCCAGTAATTGTCTTGAATACACGTCCTGCGCTTTCATTGGGTACGTGGATATAGCTGTCCGTCTTAGGCAACTGTAAACATGTGACCTGGTATCGCCCTGTGTTCCTTGCTAATATTTCCGGAGCGGGTCCCAGTTCTATTTACGGAGCCAATCATATTGATATGCGGGTGCTGAGTAAGCAGATCTGACCAATCACAACTTACGGATAAAAGTGTCGCAGAAAGTGGATTTCCCTCATAACAGTGGAGAAAAAAGCAGGAGACAGACAATAATATGGTGTTGTGTCTGGCTTGAACAATTGGTAATTTTCCATTCTGCTCGAAGAATGCCTGTCGCATGGCGATTCTAGCGCGACCTGGGCGAGCGTTTATCGCCTGCTACTTTAAATGGCGATTGTTCCGGGCCCGTGGAACCGCCGGGCATTCCGCGGTGAGATTAGGCGGGCCACCCAGGGGCGCAGGGCGAGCTAAGCAGGCTCCGGCTGGACGGCGGAGGGGAGTGGCTGGCACGCAGGGGCAAGCCATGCCGCGCCATGCCGCGCCACAATGCCACCGGCGGGCTGGAGCGGAAATGAGGCCAAGCTTGTGGCTTCGACGGCGGTCGCAGCCAGCCTGCAGTCGGGTCCTTGCCAGCACGATTCTCGAGCGGTCGCCAGGAGCAGCTGTTTGCGTGCTAGAGCTCCTACCCCTACCTCGTAGTAGATGATTGCGTATAATGATACTATTATTCAGAATATGATTATTCAGAATGCAGCACATGAAGATCATCATTAGTATTACCCGTTGCAGACTCCTGCCAGACTGGCAGCCGATCTGGCTCCATGTCCTGCCGGGCAAGAGATCGGCGGTTGGCCCGTTCGCGGCCCGCCCAGGCACCAACTGCCCCGGATAGGCAGGAATCAGGCACACTTCCGGCGGGATTCAGGCAGAAACGCCGCGTTCCTGCCTGATTCCTCAGGCAGCCAGTCCAGGCTGAGCATGCCGGATTCCACGATCCAGACCGTCATCCAGGGCGCCCCATCCACCGCTCTCCTCCACCCGTCCCTGTGTGCCTTCTTTTCCATCTCTCGCTCTTCTGCCTTTCTATCTGTCTCGATCTCGCTGCCAGAGAAGTCACTCGTTTGCGCCCTCCATGTCTTTCGTTCGTTAGACCCGTCTCCTTCCCCTGTCGTTCCCCACCCGCCCGTTGCGGCTCGACTCCAGCTGCTCCCCGTGATTCTCGTGTCGGTGAAGCGACTTCAGCGACAATCACCACTCGTTGAATAAATAATCCATTGACGACGGACAATTCGTTGAAGATTCCTCACCGGGCCTGGGAGACGTGGTGCTGGTCGATCTGTCACCCGAAGTGAAGGACCTCCGCTGGTCTGCTTCATCCGGTTTATAGTATACAGAAAAAAAAAGCATCCATCTCTGGCCTGCAAGATAACCATGTCGATGGCCACTTACGCCACTCCAAACTCTCCGCCAGAACTGTCCGGCTCCAAGTCCTCCAAATCGTCGTCCTTCCATACCTCCTCTCACCCCGACGGCCCCGACGTCGACTTTGCGGATGTCTCCAACTTTGAGGATATCGGCCTTGCAGATGACCCAGAACTACCCTATCCTGATGCATACGCATACCCTCGACCGGGGATGCGGTCCTCGAGTCGGACGCGTCTCCCTACCCGCATTCATACAATGCCAGCCAAGTCTGCGAGAGATTTGACCCCAGGCCTGAAGAAGCGCGCCGATCCTCCGCCATTGAGGAATCAGCCCACGGGGCCAGGGGCCCAGCAGACGCTGGAGCCCAAGACGAGAGGCAGCCGGAGAGCCTTGACCAGAAATGCGTCGAGTCCCTCCTTACCCCTTCGGCCATCGGAACGCCAACGATCTCGCTCGCCTTCTCCCAGCCAGCCTTCGTCTGCAATTTCTCCATCGCCCTCCGGCGGCAACACCACCCTGTCGCCGCAGACGGCGCGGGGGCTCACCCGCAAGGCGTCCTGGCAGTCGACTCGCAAGTCGGTCAAGGAGCTGGAGGATGAATACAATGATTCGGACGACGAGCTTCCCGATGATGCCAGCCTGTGGAACGTTCCCATTTCTCCCAGACCGCCTCAGGACCGTCCGTCCTCTCGGACGGGCAGCCCGGAGCGAAGGAGTCCAAGGCCGCAGCCTCTGGAGCATGCAATCTCTGCTCCTGCAGGACCCTTGTCTCCTCAACGACACTCCCGGAGATCGCCTAGGACGTCTCCGCATGCGGGCAGGGCAAGGCCAAAGCCCGTCAGATCCGCGTCCGCTGGGCCTGAGAGGGGCCAGATTACGCCGCGCAATCCAAGAACCTATTCCTACAATCTCGCGATGGCCGAGTTGTCGGAAGAAGTCAAGGTCTTGACAGAAGCGCTGGAACTCCACGCCGACGATACGGAGCGAAAACGAGAAGAGAAGCTCCAGAGCGGCAAGTCCTCCCGCCGCTCGAGTATGGACTCGAAGCGGGGATCAGGCAGCATTCCCGATCTCCCCCCATTGCAGAAATCGAACATTATGATCGACCCCTTGCCCGTGAGCAAGGAGAAGGAAAAGGTTCTGAGCCGCACTCGTCCCAGCTGGCTGCCGCCAAAAGACCCGAAAGAAGAACAGAGGCACCTCAGAGAGTATAAAAAGATGATGGCCCAAGCACGGGAAGCGGGTTCGTCCATTGTCTGATAGGATGAATTGAATGGGTTACTAACCGACTTGCAGAAAAACGCAAGGCCGCCAAGGCTGCTTCCGCCCAGTGTGAGAAAGATAACACTCGCGAGACGCTCCAGCGCATATGGGAAGAGCACGTGTTGCCGGACTGGGACCGTGCTGTGACGGAGCCTCGCATTCGCGCGCTGTGGTGGCGGGGGATTACCCCGCGCTGTCGAGGCGCAGTGTGGCAGCGCGCCATCGGTAACGAGCTCTCACTCACGGAGGAGTCGTATCAGAAGGCTCTTCAGAGGGCCAAAGATGTCCGGGCCCGGGTTGATCAGGAGGCCGGGGAGAGCAACAAGCGGATGCGGGAGTGGTTTGCGGCCATCTCGCGCGACGTGTCTTCGGCGTTTCCCGACCTTCATCTCTTCCAAGAGGGCGGCCCCTTGCGGGAGACGTTGATCGATGTATTGGAGGCTTATTCCATGTACCGCAGTGACGTGGGCTATCTCTACGGTCTACATGTGAGTTGACTCATTCTTCATCTTGAGCAACAGCACTGACTGGTTTTCTAGACCATCGCTGCGCTTCTTGTTCTCCAGCTTCCTTCGCCAGCTGCCGCTTTCATCGTGATGGCGAATGCTCTCAATCGGCCCCTTCCACTGGCCTTCTTGACCGCAGATCGCGGTGCCACCGGTCGGACCTACGGCCTAGCGTCGGCCACTCTCCGCTATAAATTCCCGCGACTATACAGCCATCTCTATGAGACACTCCGGCTGTCGGATGAGGATATCTGGGAGCCAATGTTCCGATCTCTCTTCACGAACGGGCTGGACTTGGAGCGCCTGTGTCGTGTGTGGGATTGCTGGGTGTTTGAGGGCGATCGGATCATCATCCGGGCGGGCGTCGCCGTGCTCGGCTGTCTCCAGACGCAATTGCTGGGGTTTGGATCGGATGAGAAGAGCCGGGAGGAAATCAAACACGTCGTGGGCTGGGGCCCGCATGATTTGGGAACCATGAAGGACAAGACGCGTCACAGCTCTCCAACGCCGATCGTTGGATTCGGTGGCGGCCTGATTGCCAACGCGGGCGTTGGCAATTACTGGATCTTCCAGTCTGGAGACGAGGACAGCTTTATGAATGAAGTGCGGGAGGCGGGCAAAGTGCAGTCGTAAGACGCCTCGCAACTCGTCAGGCGGGTCCGAGAGGATATGTCATAGCAAGATACATTTCCTATTGCGTTGGTCTAATTGTCGAGGCCGGGACAGGCCGGCGGCCCCTATACAGGGTTTCATTATCGTTTTGTCTAGCGTTTTGCATACTCTCTTTTCCTTTGTTGATTGATCCTCTCGAGCGGCCTGCTTGGCTAGTTCTCTCTCTCTCTTTCTGTCTCCTTATTCTGGTTTATGTACCTATTTAATTTTGTTTCCCCCTCCGTCGTTCTGGTTATATCCTGATGTTTTCGTTTTGGGTGCGTGGACTGCTTGGGGCTAGGAGCAAGGGGTTAGTTGAGAATGGAACAAACAATAGATCGATAGGATAAACTATATAATGCTGTGGATGATGCTTGTTTCTAAGAAAGTAAAGACATATTGACTTAGTTTGCATCGTTCAACATGGGTCCTATCAAGGTCCTGAGTCTGGAGCATTTCTTAGTTAAAGCAGCATTGGAATACCAACTGCATAGCTTTAATGAAATGTTTCATCTCTTGGCTATGTTCATTCAGAATGG